ATGACCCCGCCCAAAGCCCCAATGACCCGCGCCCAAAGCCCCAATGAACCCCCGCCCCAAACCCGCCCAATGACCCGCCCAATGACCCCGCCCCAAAGCCCCAATGACCCCGCCCGCCATGACCCGCCCCAAAGCCCCAATGACCCCGCCCAAAGCCCCAATGACCCCGCCTCAAAGCCCCAACGACCCCGCCCAAAGCCCCAATGCCCCGACCCGCCGCCAAAGCCCCAATGCCCGCCCCCCAAAAGCCCCAATGACGCCCCGCCCCAAATGACCCCGCCCAAAGCCCCAATGACCCCGCCCCCCCCAATGAGCCCCAAAGCCCCAATGACCCCGCCAATGCCCGCCCATTTCATATCTTGAGCCACCTCCCTTTCTTATCATTCGCCTCCCTTATTATTTTCACTGACCTTTAGCTCGCCCTCTCCCTCTCCTCCTCCTCCTCCTTCCTCTATCTCCTTCTTTGCGTCTCTTCTACTTCACTTTCCAGCTCCGTTATCTGACCATCTTTCTTCTTCGTTAAGCTTTGGACTCTACGCTCTCCTGTTCTTCCTTTTCCTCCTTCTCCTTTTTCTTCTATTATTATTTCTCCTTCTTATTATTCTTAATCTTATTCTATTCTATTTTTCCTCCCTCCTCCTCCTCTTTTTCTTCTTCTTCTCCTTCTCCTTCTTATTCTCAATCTTATTTCTCCTCTTCCTCCTACTCCTCTTTCATCCTCATTTCTCTTCCTCCACCCCAGTCTCCTCCTCTTTCTCCTCCATCTCCTCATCTTATCTTCATCCATCTCCTGCTCCTCTTCCTTCTCCTCCATCTCCTCCATCTCCTCCTTCTCCTCCATCACCTCCATCGCCGCTCTCCTCCTCCCTCCTTTCATCTCCTCCATCTCCTCCTCCCATCTCCTCCATCTCCTCTTCTCCTCCATCACCTCCATCCCTCCTCCTCCTCCTCATCTCATCTTCATCCATCTCCTCCTTCACCTCCATCCCCTCCATCTCCTCCTCCTCCTCATCTCATCCTTCATCCATCTCCCCATATCCTCCATTTCCTCCATCTCCTCCTCCTCCTCCATCTCCTCCTCCTTCTCCTCCATCACCTCCATCTCCTCCTCCTTCTCCTCCATCCCCTCCATCTCTTCCTCCATCTCCTCCTCCTCCTCATCTCATCTCCATCCATCTCCTTAAACCCCGCCCACTGATCTTCTTAAGGACGACCCAGGACTGCTCGAGCTCCTCCCACAGCTAAATGACTACTGCCTTCTCATCGTTAACTTTTTGCACTTGAACTATACACTGATGGCCGACCTTTTGTGTGATGTGATCTACTTTTTTCTACAGTTACCCTGACGCGATCAGTGTTAAATATAAGTAATCCCCTTTCTTGGGAGATGTGCTAACTGCTACTACTATTATGTTGGTCCTAATCGTCAAAATAAAAAAAAATGCTAAAATGCTAAAAAATACATACACCTAAGATTCAAACGTATTCCATAAATGTAACTGTGATTGTGTAACATCTTTATGGATATAAATATAACTTATTCCCAGGAAAAAAGAGAAATATGATAATCCAAGTATCATGAGTACTTGGATATGCTATTGCAGCTATTTGCTTGACAACTTCTGAAGGACGAATTATTAAGTGGTACGGCCGTGTGATCGACTTAAAACAAGCTTGTGATCGACTCAAAACAGGCTTGTGATCAACTTAAATCACTTTACGTTCGTCTAGGAATCTTGCAGACCTGCGTTCAATCCCACGCCATTCCTTACACACAGGGGGAGATTTGGGGGCAAAATAAAACAGACAGTATGCAACAGCAAAGAATATCCATTGTAACAAATGGAATTAAAACTAAACCTTTATAAAAAAATATATATATATAATAATAATAATAATAATGATAAATCTTATAAAAAAAAATCTTTAAAACAGGCTTGTGATCGACTTTAAAACAGGCTTATAATCGACCAATCAATCATAATCGACTGGTTGACCCCCCCCACCTGCTATAAACGCTATAACCCTTCTTATAACTTAGTTATTTACCCTAAGCTCGTTCGAATATCAATGCCTTTTGTTGCATTATTTAATTTGCTTTGATCCGCCCACTTCATTTATTACTTATGGGCGTCCACTTACCTTTTTGCGTTCAAGGCGGTTAGACACGCCCACTTAGCTGGTTTCAAGTTGTTCTTTTTCTCTACTTCCTTACTTTCTCTACTTATTTTCTTACTTATTTTGTTTGTTTACTTACTTTTTCTTTATTTACTTACTTCCTCTATCTTTCTCTATCTTACTTACTTTCTCTATCTATTTTCTTTATTTACTTACTTCTTTTCTTTATTCATTTTCTTATTTACTTACTTTCTCTATTTATTTTCTTATTTATTTTTATTTTCTTTTTACTTACTTTCTTATTTCTTATCTATTTTCTTTATCTACTTATTTACTTTCTCTTATTTTCTTTACTTCTACTTATTTTACTATTTTCTTTATTTCTTAATTTTCTTGACTTTCTCTACTTTCTTTATCGTCTTACTTCTTCTATTTATCTTTTTATTTATTTACTTACCTTCTCTACTACTTATTTCTTTATCTACTTACTTCCTCAATTTATCTTTTACTTATTTACTTTCTTTCTCTATTTGCCTACTTACTTGCTTCCTCTATTTACCTTTTTACTTATTCACTTATTACATCCATTATTCACTTACTTCATTCATTTACGCCCGTCCACGTACCTATATTTTCTCTGTTTACTGTATTTGCATCACGCCCACTCAGCTTGCTTCCCTACGCCTTCACACTTACTTCAATATCCTCACTTACTCACCTCCTCCTACTTACCGAGACTTTCTCGATTATTTACTCCGTCCACGCTTTAGAGAGAGAGAGAGAGAGAGAGAGAGAGAGAGAGAGAGAGAGAGAGAGAGAGAGAGAGAGAGAGAGAGAGAGAGAGAGAGAGAGAGAGAGAGAGAGAGAGAGAGAGAGAGAGAGAGAGAGAGAGAGAGAGAGAGAGAGAGAGAGAGAGAAGAGAGAGAGAGAGAGAGAGAGAGAGAGAGAGAGAGAGAGAGAGAGAGAGAGAGAGAGAGAGAGAGAGAGAGAGAGAGAGAGAGAAAGGACGAGGAGAGATGGAAGAAGTGAGGAAACAGGGAGTGAGTTAGGAATGAGGGGAGAGGAGAAGAAGGAGAGGCGAGGAGAGAGAGCGAAGAGAAAGAAAGAGAAGGGATAGGCGGGGAGAGAGAGAGTCTATAGGGAGAAAAAGGGGGAGAAGGAAAAGATGGAAAAGATGGAAATTAAGAAAGGAGAGTGAAAGAAAGAGACGGTGGGACGGGGGAGAGGGAGAGAGAAAAGAAAGAGAGGGCACACGGGGGGAAGAAGGGAGAAAGGGAAATGAGAAGGAGGGAGAGAGAGAGATAGAGAAAGAAGCGAAGACGAGCGAGGAGAGAGAGAGAGAGAGAGAGAGAGAGAGAGAGGAGAGAGAGCGAGAGAGAGAGAGAGAGAGAGAGAGAGAGAGAGAGAGAGAGAGAGAGAGAGAGAGAGAGAGAGAGAGAGGGAGAGGGAGAGAGAGGGGGGGGAGTCCAGGTTCTGTAGGAATGCGAGTCGGCCCGGCAGAGGTCAGCTCCAGCCAGTCAAATTCCCGGATGCGCGTGGGTGGGTGTGAGCGTCAGTGATGCCAGGCGCGGGCAGAACTCTCTCTCTCTCTCTCTCTCTCTCTCTCTCTCTTCTCTCTCTCTCTCTCTCTCTCTCTCTCTCTCTCTCTCTCTCTCTCTCTCTCTCTCTCTCTCTCTCTCTCCTCTCTCTCTCTCTCTCTCTCTCTCTCTCTCTCTCTCTCTCTCTCTCTCTCTCTCTCTCTCTCTCTCTCTCTCTCTCTCTCTCTCTCTCTCTCTCTCTCTCTCTCTCTCTCTCTTTCTCTGTCTCTCCTCTCTCTCTCTATCTATCTATCTATCTATCTATCTACCTCCTATCTATCTCTCTCTCTCTCTCTCTCTCTCTCTCTCTCTCCTCTGTCTTCCTCCTCTTCTCTCTCTCTCTCTCTCTCTCTCTCTCTCTCTCTCTCTCTCTCTCTCTCTCTCTCTCTCTCTCTCTCTCTCTCTCCTCCTCTCTCTTCTCTCTCTCCCTCTCTCTCTCTCCCTCTCTCTCTCTCTCTCTGGTGCTCTCCTCTCCTCGGTCTTACCNTCAATCTTAGAAAGTTCCCGTAATATGATACTAAATGATAGTAAAACTGGCTTAGATGCTTAGATAATATTTTCAAGAGCAAATACAACCCTTTCGATAATCAACACAACAGCTTAAATATGACAGATTTATCAAAAAAATACTTACTAAAAACGAGATGCAAATGCGTGCACCCTGAGGATAATAACAAACAACTTCATAATACCATGTAAATCGTGCAAAAGGTCAAAAAGCGCGCACACACACATACCGACACACACACACACACACCCTGAAGACATTTACAAATACCTTCACAGTATTAATGTAAATCATTTAAAGGCCAAAAGGCTCAACAATGGGCACTGACGAAAGCTCGGAATTATCTACAAAATCAAAAGTAAGTGTTTTTTCATAACTAAACATGGCTTCGGTTGCGATGCATTTAACGATTTCACATCAAGGGATCAAAGAAAGAAATCATATTAGTGATTCTGATAACTACTGGCCGGTTTGTTTTAAAATTGTGCGAGGCTGGACCCCAAAGAATATTCGTATACTTGACATGCATAAATAAAGAAATAAATGCATATGTATCAGTCTAGACATGCATATAAACTCGGCAAGTAGAATGGTTAAATGTATGTATCAGATATATATAGATAGATGTGCCTTTGTTTCTGCATCTGTATGAATGAAATGACTGTATGAAAACTGATGTATTTGGCCCGACTTGTTAAAATTGTGCGAGGGCCGACCCAAAGCATATTCTACAGACGGGTATATATACAGAAACAAATACATACCTATCATTCTAGATATGCACACCTACCGGAGAGATAGATAGATAGCAAAATGTATATCTAGCAGATAGATAGATAGATATGCATTTATTACTCTGCATATGCAAGTCCGTATACATAAGCATACCTCGCACGATTTCAACAAACTGGCCTTTTGAGATTCATGAAACATCAGAACATCAAAATGCGTATATAGTATCATATTCTACCTCATTACGCAGTCATATCCCAATTCAGAGATTATTATTATCAATATTATTGCTACTACTATCATCATTATCATTATCATTACTGTTGTTCTTGTTGGTTATGGGGTATTAATACCATTGTTATTGTTGTTTTTGTTATCATTTCATTAATATCATTATCATTATATTGTTTTTGTTGTTATTATCTTTG